TTTTATCAATGTTGTCCACGTGATATCTGTTAAACAATCTGAAGAGCTTAAGATTAAGAAGCGAACTGAAATTGCATCGAAGGAGCTTGAGAAAAAGGCGTCATCTCTCAGGAACATAGAGAGGAAGTTCTACGACTCGTACTCTATGGTTGGTATCGGCCTTCCTGATTCTGGGGCTGACCACGGGCAGGTACTGGATGCTCGGGATCCCCTGGCAGAGAAAAAATCCGAGCTTGCAGCCTGTCAAAGGCGGGTGGAAGATGAGATGTTGAGGCATGCCAAAGCAGTAGAGGTGACAAGAGCAATGACACTGAATAATGTTCAAACAGGCTTGCCAGGGGTTTTTCAAGCATTGACAAGTTTTTCTGCCTTATTTACCGAGGCACTTCACTCGGTTTGCTCCCGTTCCTATCATATCAAATAGATGAATACATTTTCCTCGACACGTGAAGAATTTTTTAGGTAAGAGCTAGGGTTTTTCTGGCCGTTGGCTCTTAGAATTATTATTATTATTTGCCTGGGGAAGTGTAAATACATGGGAGGTGGTCTTTTGGTGGTTTTGTCAATTATCAATTCTGTGCAGGAAATTGCTTCATTTTTCATTCTCGTATCACAAAAGGGGGGGGGGGGATGGTGTTGCAATTTCCGCAGATTAATAATAAAGATGAACTCCGATGGATTTGAAAGTGAAAGATGAATATTGCTATGCAAAAAAAGTAAAAGAAAAAAGAACCCTTTGTCTCTGGTCCGTTTAAGGTTTGGCATATGAGTGTAGTGTTTACGCCGCTTTGTGTTTGGAAATGAGCATGGATTTTCATTGATTTTGAGTGAGCTGATTCAGCTGAAGTATATACCACCTGATCAAACGGTTTTTGAGTAAAGCAAACACATCATCCTCTAAATCAGAACTAGAAGAATTCAAAGTCCAGATATTTACCGCCGGATTTCATGTCTGTCCCTTGCCCCATCCTTTTTCTGTGTGTAAGCAAAATTTCCAAAAACCAAAAATTCTAAATTAAAAGAATTTGATAGAGAGCCCGAGCTCTTTCTCTCTCTAGACTCTGTTTCTTCTCTTTCTTTCTTTCTTTTTAAGCTCTGTTACTAAAAACAAGCTTTAGCCATTGTGTGATGGTTTAGTATTGGCAGACCAGCTTTTTACTTTATTTTTTGAGATTGAGTAGGCGAGTTTATTAGCTTTTTGCAAGAGATTAGTGAGTGAATAATGGGTAAGTTACAAATTACATCACTCAACTTTCTTTTTATTTCTATTTTGGTAATTAATTTTTTTTAAATAATTTACTAATTAAATTTTGATTTACTCCTACTTTAATTACACGTAATTAAATACTTAATAAAGTTATGATTGGTCATTTTTATTTAAAATTTTATAAAATAATCTCGTAATTTTATTTATGAAAAATCTCATAAGTTTTTATTTTTATTTTTCGATGATAATTTTTTTTTTCAAATTCCAATGATGGGTAGGTGGATAAAAACAAAGCGAGTCGTATATCTTGATTTTATATTATTCAATGGTAGATATTATATATCAGAGTGAGTTAATATTTTAGAAGTTTTGGGTTTATAGTTGAGTTTTATGAGTTGTAAAGTTATTCAATTAAAATCTAAATTGATAGAATGATGGGAGATAATGAGTTGAGTTCGTTGATATTCTGACTGGTCGAAGAAGACACTAAATAATCTATAATTTTAATGACTAAAATGGAATAAAGTTAAAATTAAATGATAAAATTTATAATCTATAATTTGTCCTTATTGTCAAAAATAAAATAAAAAAATATTAAATCAAACCGAATCAAATTCATCACATTCTAATTAGTGAACCGTTTTGGGTCCACTGTAGTGGCCCCACCTCTGCTCTTTCTTTAAGCTACATTGCCTTTTTCCAAGGTAGGGATGCTCCTTATCCCCCCGGGCCCAACACACACAAGCACACTCTGTCTCGGCCATCGCCAAATTGGAACCATTTTCATAATCGGCGTTGGGATTTTCTTCAGCTGCCGTAATCCATTTAGACGCCTGCAATCATCAAGTGCTCAAGGTATAGCGCGTCTTTTTTTCTTTTTCTTTGTTGAATCAGTACATTGTTGGATTTTTTACTAGAAGCATGTTAATTTAAAAGGAAAAGTATATAAATACTCTCCCAACCTTTAGAGCGCTTCAACTTTTAAAACTTAAAATACGGGAATGTACCGGAGAAGCCGTTGTTGTTTATGTCCAACTCATAAAAATATATGAGTTTCGAGACGTCCACTACGGAACCGAAGAACATGTTTGAATTTGCATGGAAGATAGCCAGATCGAGGAGGTTATCGACGAAACGTTCCAGTGTTGGGGCCGCTAATAGAAACCCGTTGAAGTCAATGTCGGTAACGGCAACGGAGAATTCATTGTCCGGTGGGTTATCACAGTAAAAGCCCGTGTAGTTGCATATATCCGACGCGATCCAATTCCCCATCCTGTTAAGCGCGACATCGGTGATCGTTCTCTTGAATGCTTGGATTAAGGGGTAAACAACGACAAGTCTCTACCTCACCTTGGCGAACGACCGGTTAATCGGCTCGATCCGCAAAGAATGCACAACATTAACTCAACATTAGTCGAGGTTTTACTGCTGAACAATAAGCTATTAGGTTGTCTCTCTTACGAACTAGGGTTTTTGAAAGAGCTTAGAGTCTTCGACGTCGAAATCAACCTGTTAACGATCCATTGCCGATATCCTTGTCCTGCTTGGAGAAGATCGAGCTGCTCAACTTTGCTAATAATCTGCTCTACTAGGAAATGCCTGAGGAACTGTGTGCGCTTCCAAACTTGGTGAACTTGTCGTTGTCGGGTAAAGGCAAAAGTGAACAAGTAAAGGCAGCTTGACAGAATAAATAATGGGCAATGCTTAAGTTGATTCTAGTGAAAGACAGAAAGAATGACTTGGATTAAGAGAGAAGAAGAAGAATGGGTCAACGGGAGTTGAAGAAGGGTTAACTGTCACGTTAGTAAAAAAAATGTTTAACGGGAGGGTTAACGACCACGATAGCAAAAACTAACGGCAAAGACCTTATTAAAAATGAACTAAAAATTTTATGACTGTATTGCAAGTCTCAAAAGTTGGATGAATAAAATGAAAATATCCTAAAAATTGGGAGACTATTTATATACTTTAATTTAAATTACAAATTTTAATAAATTATAATTTATTATATATTTGTAATTTAAATTAGAGAAAATAACCTCAGTGACAAAAAATCCAATATAATATATAATTTTAACCAACTTTTTCCGGATTTGCCAAAATGACCAACAAAATCGCAATGCGATCGCTAATTCGCAACGCGATCTCCATTATCGCAAATCAGTTTCCAGATTTGCAACGCGATTATGATAATCGCAATGCGATTTTCCAATTTCGCGTTGCGATTTTCCCAATTCGCAATGCGAATAAGTAAATCGCAATGCGAATAAGTAAATCGCAATGCGAATTTGGAAAATCGCAATGCGATACTGACTATCGCAATGCAATTTTCCTAATTCGCATTGCGATTTACGTATTCGCGTTGCGATTTACGTATTCGCGTTGCGATTTTCATAATTCGCAATGCGAATACGTAAATCGCAACGCGATTAAGTAAATCGCAATGCGAATTAGGAAAATCGCAATGCGAATACGTAAATCGCAATACGAATCTTACTATCGCAATGCGATTTACATAGCGCCATTCGTATTAACGCATATTTTTTTTTCAAATTCCAAACACAAATTTTTTCTTAATATATCGGAAACTGAACCGTCCACAGTAATCGCAACTCATAACCTCAAACCTAAAATCACAACACTCAGCCCCATCTCTATCTCTCACTCTCTACGGCGAAATCCGTCCCCATCTCCGAAGATTTCCGTCCCCATCGCCGGCAAAATCCCTCACAACCATTCACAGTCAGAAATCCCTCACAATCATTCAAAAATGGAAAATCAACCTCCGAGGGTTAGTTTTTTTTTTATTATTTTGAAATTTTTGCATTATTTTAGTTTATTCATATTGATATTGATGATAAGTTTACTGGTAATTTCAATAATAGATTAACCATTTCACTTAGATTTCTTATTAAATTCATTCGATTGCTGCCAATACTGCTAAACTGTTTAGCCTGTGAAGTTAGTATTTGTCTTTGTTTTGTCTTTTGGTTGAAGTAATGAAGAAGAAGAATAGTTTCAAGAATGAAAATCGGAACGCGGAAATAACTATCGCAACGAGAGAATCGCAACGCGAAACCAAAATCGCATTGCGATTTTCATTTCGCGTTGCGATTCTCTCGTTGCTATTTTCATTTCGCGTTGCGATTCTCTCGTTGCGATTTTCATTTCGCGTTGCGATTCTCTCGTTGCGATAGTCATTTCTGCGTTGCGATTTTCATTATCTCGTTGCGATTTTCATTTCAACTAAAAGACAAAACAGTGTTGCAAATTTTAGTTTCAAGAATAAACTACTATTTATGTTTATTGTTTTTGGTATATCTTCACAGTGTAGTTTTTGGTATATCTAACTTGGTATGTTTATTGTTTTTGTAGAAATTTTTTTCGGCTTCATTGACATTAAGGAATAAAGTTAGCCTAGCCACTACAATTGCTTCGAAGCTTTCACCTGCACAAAGAAAATTGTTTGAGGAAACCTGCTTCGGGTCATGGCTGAGAGTACAGCATCCGGGTGGAGATGCTAATTTGACCCATTTGTGGCTTCAGACCATGACTAGCGATCTACCCGACAGTATACAACGTGGTGAGGAAGAGATATGGTTTCATTTTCCACCAGCGTATACTTGTTTTAGGCGGAAGGAGTTCAGCTTAATCACTGGTCTACGATTCGGATACGATGATGTAGGCCGGTACACTCGTTATATCACCCGCCCATCATGATTATCCAGGGTTTTTCCTGATGAGTCAATAGAGAAGCCGAACTTACACGTCGACGACATGAAGAAATTGTTTAATAAGAAAGATGGTTTTACTCAGATGAATGACGTCGATGTTGTCCGAGTATGCCTTCTACTACTTTTGTATGCCGGCTTTTTAGGCAGAGAGGCCAGACAACCTATTCCTCAAGAGCTAATATTATTGGTAGATGACCTAAATGCATGGAATCTGTTTCCGTGGGGTTCGTATATATGGAAAGCTACCTGGACTAACTTGTAGTCTGCCTTTGATGACCGCAAAAGTTTGCGGGGCGATGGGTCGAAATACACTTTGTCAGGCTTTGTTTGGGCCTTTAAGGTAAGAATTTCTATATAATGTTTTCAAAATTATAATTAATTATTTAACAATTACTAATGTTTGTTATTATATTGTTTGTAGATTTGGATATTCGAGGCTTTCCCCAGCATGCGGACATATGCATTAAAAACCTCAAATGATATTCCTAGGGCTATTTCCTGGAAGAGGAAACGTCTGTTGGATTGGGAAGACTTAATACCATATGCGATAATAAATAATGTAAGTTAACACAAATACTATCATATATAAACAAGTTATTAATAGTAGACGTTTAACTTTGTTTGAGTTTATATATTTTTAGGAGGCCAACATTCCATTAATGAGACTGACACCCATGGAGGCTGAGCTTACCACTGATTGGTGGCAAGCTAGTCAGCATTTTCTTGATGGCATGAATGATGAGCAGCCTCCACTTCCTCCACTTCGAGAGCCATCACCTCACCCAGAGCCATCACCTGATCGACCCGACTATACACCTCTACAACGAGAGTCATCACCTATCCCGTCACATCATCGAGCCTCTTCTCCACCATCACCTCATGATAAGCGACCGGCAAAGATGCCATGACTTCTATCTCCCTGTTCTCCACCTCCACCTCCACGGGATGAGTCAAGGGAGTTACGTGATGAGGTCAATGCCTTGCGTGAGGAGATCGGTACTCTACGCGATAACGATGGTGCATGGCGTGTGAAGGTGTCTACTTTACGTGGTGAGGTTGCTGCTCTACGTGAGATGGTAGTATCGTTGCAGAATGAGGTTCATACTCTACGCAACGAGGTAAGTTTAAGATTTTCCATATTTAACTTGATGATAAATTTACTCGTAATTTCACTTAGATTGCTTAGTAAATTTATTAGGTTGTTGCCAATACTGCTAAACTGTTTATTAACACTGTGAAGTTAGTATTTGTCTTTTTGTTTTGTCTTTTGGTTGAAGTAAATTTATTCGGTTGCTGCCAATTCTGCTAAACTGTGTATTCTTTAACACTGTGAAGTTAGTATTTGTCTTTGTTTTGTCTTTTGGTTGAAAGTTTGAAATATATTTGTCTTTGTTTTCACTGTTTAAATATCATGTCTGTTTATTTACTGATATTTGTATTTAATTATTTAGCGGACCGATAAGGTGGATGCTTTACGTCGGGTTTTTCTTGCACGACAGAGTTCACGCATCAGACGGCGTGCACGTACTATTAAGTCTCCGTATACCCCAATAGTGCGAAGACACCGCAAGAAGAAGCCTGACTCGCCTTTCATCCCTCAAAAGTCCACTCCTATCGTTGAAGAGGCCCCTATCATTCCTCGAGAGTCCCCTCCCACCGTTTAAGAGGCCACTGTCATCGTTGAAGAGGTCCCTCCCACCATTCAAGAGCCCGATTCACATGGCGTCATATGTAGGATTCTTGAGAAACCCTCTGACGTGCCGGATATGATGGATTCAAGTTAGCTCTCGTATGAGTTACCGGCCAGTACCATACCGGTATCTAAAGTGGAAAGGAAACAACTACCAGACACAATTCTGGATAACACCCTTTGGGCTAAGACCGCAGTTGATTTTTATCTACATGAACGGAGCCAGGGGTGTTTCACTGACATATGCAAGCTCAACGATGATATTTATTTGTTGCTTGATCGGTCTTGGTGGGGCGTATTATTAGGGGTCGAAGACAATGGCTATTTCGATAGAGGGGTAAGTCTTATATTTTTCTTATATTTTAATTTGATTGTTTTTTTTAAATTTATGTAAGTTACTAATATTTTTTTTTTGTAAAACAACATATCGATGCGTAGGTGTCACGTCTTCTAATAATTAGGAAACTTAAGGAAAATAAAAGAAATACATGATATATAATTATGTCGATGTCTTTTAACGCCGTTCACTTGAAGAATCAACGAGATGAATCATTTGCGTTGGGCAATGGACAAGCTAAACTTTATCCTGCATGGTGGGAGGTCGATAAGGTTAGTGTTTATTTTAGATTGAGTTTAAAGGTATTCATAAATAAGTGCGCAAATGAATGAATTATTACTTATGATTGCAGGTGTTTATCCCTGTTTTGGAACGTAAACATTGGCTTCTCGTCGAGCTTCAAATCCCATCCATTAAGGCAATAGTATATGACAGCATGATAAATTACATATCATTAGCTGATTTAAGAGATATTATTAAGGGATGGAGCTCTCATTTGGCTAAATTCTTGGATGCGATAAATTATTGGACTCGTTCTGGAAACAAGAAGCCAAAGAAGCTCAATATTAAAGTTAGCAGAGACGAGACCGCACCACAACAAACGAAAGGACCCAGAGGGGATTGTGGTCCTCTCGTATGCTTGGTGTTGGACCGTTTGATCACAGGAAGTATAAAGTATCTACCTCCCACCGATAGAGATAGAGCTACAGTAGGCTTGTGGTTTTGGCATTATATGGCTAGATCGATATATACGAGACGCTGCCTACCTGCATTCGCGTTATAAAAATGTCCATAAATAATTGGTATGTTTATAGGCTTGTGGTTTGAAAATGTTTGGTTAAGTACCTAGAATTCAATAATTTGCTGTTTGTAGGTTTTAGATGTGTAGAAAGTGTTGTTTGAGCAAATGTTTGGTTTATGCAGGTTAATCTCAGAAGTGAGCTGCGTGAAAATGATGTATGGCTGCAAAAGTTGATTCAATAGTAGATGAGGAAATAAGAATTATTGATTATTTTTTTATTGCTTAATTGATTTGTAAAAGGTGATTTGTAAAAGTTGATTTCTTTAATTGATGTTAACATAATTCTTATTTGTGCTTGTTTAATTGATTGAAATGTAATGGTTGATTTTGTTGATTTCAATCTGCATTATGTTGAAGGCAAAAATTACTATCGTAATACGAAATGAAAATCGCAACGATATAATCGCAATGCGAAATGAAAATCGCAACGACAAAATCGCAACGCGAAACTAAAATCGCAACACGAAACTAAATTCGCGTTGCGATTTTCATTTCGCTTTGCGATTCCCTCGTTGCGATTTTCATTTCGCATTGCGATTCTCTCGTTGCGATTTTCATTTCGCATTGCGATTATCTTGTTGCGATTTTCATTTCGCATTGCGATAGTAATTTCCGCGTTGCGATAGACATTAAGATGATTGCGAATGTCATTTCCGTGTTGCGATAGTCAAATGATTGCCTATTAAGTGATAACAACTGAACATATCATAGCAATTTTCAAACTCAAGTTACTAATACATGCCTAACTGAAAATGTTAAAAGTTCACACATAAAATCTACATAATACAACGTTTGCATTTAAAAATCACCTAAGTTAACAGTCCCAAAAGGTGAAGCCAGTTGTGATTGGGATTTTAAAGATGATTGCGATTTTGATTGTCTTTTTCTTGACACCATATGAGCTTTGGATTTTGATGATGATCTATATTTTGGTAGAGAAAAAGATGATTGTGATGGCACTGATGATCCATATGTCAACCTTGTATGACCACTTTCCTTGCACCGACTACATGTCGATCTCTTCTTCTCTTCACCCTTAGACGGTATACGATCGTGACTTTTTGGTCGGCCAGGTAGCCTTCTGTCCATGGCTGGTGGCAAAACTGTTTGTAAGTCATCTGGTATGTCCCACTCAGAAGGATGTGGAATAGGGTAGACAATCTCGGCATAAGTCTGTCGATATACTTCTGTAGTGTAGCAATCCATAGCGTATGTGCTTGAATCATCTTGGTTTAGATGAAGAGCAACTTTTATAACATGGCCACACGGATAACCAGATGTTTGCCATTTCATACAACTACACGTCCTTGCATTTAGATCGACAAGCCCATTTAAGTTATTATCCAGTACTTCAAACAAAGTATTTGAACATGGTTCAACTCTCCATGACGTTGACTTCACAACACGTTTCGTTATCTTTTTTTCAGTCCATGGTGTAACACGATGTTCCAATGTTCCTGTAAATTTAAATAAATAATACTTAGTAAAATATATGATAAGTTACGAATTCAAAGAAATAATACCTGCATGGTTTCTTTTCTTGTAGTACCACTGTTGAATAGAGGCTCGAAAAAACTCCATTAACATAGTAATGGGTAATTTCCAGGAATGACGACTTAGAGCGTTGATTGATTCTGCACTATTAGACGTCATGAAACCATATCTTGCTCCAAGTTGATGTACTCTTGACAATCTTTCAAACCCGACATCTTCTAGTGTTTGAGCACACTGAGGCAAAACACGTCTTAAACAGTTTATATGCTTATTGAAATACACTTCCCGATAAGCTTTTACAGCCTTCCAGTATGTCCATTTGTACTTTTTTATACCAGCATACCTTGATTTTATATTTCTATACAAATGAACACCACAAAGTCCATGAAAAGCATCTGGGAAACACCTTCTAACAGCGTTGTCAATTGAGTTTGCCCTATCGAATATGATTGTCAGATTGCTAATAGGACCTATGCAATCCCTAAGATGCCCCATAAACCATGTCCATGAATCAGAGGTTTCAGATTTGCCAACCCCGTAAGCTATTGGCAATATCCCATTGTTAGTATCCATGACTACTGCTAATAAGTTTACTCTAAGGTATCGACCTTTCAAATGTGCTCCGTCAACTATAATAACTGGGCGCATGCAAGTAATAAATGAACGAATCTACAAAATAATATACACAAGAAATATAATCATTTAAATGTGAAATGCATGTAACTAACAAAATCGCAACGAGATAATACAAAATCGCAACGAGATTCTGACTTTCGCAACGAGATTCTGAAAATCGCAATCATCTTCAAAATCCCAATCACAACCGGCTTCACCTTTTGGGACTGTTAACTTAAGTGATTTTTAAATGCAAACGTTGTATTATGTGTATTTTATGTGTGCACTTTTAACATTTTCAGTTAGGCATGTATTAGTAACTTGAGTTTGAACATTGCTATGATCTGTTCAGTTGTTATCACTTATTAGACATTCATTTGACTATCGCAACGGGGAAATCGCAACACGAAAATGGCTATCGCAGCTAGAAAATCGCATTGCGATTTTCATTTCGCATTGCGATTTTCATTTCGCATTGCGATTTTCATTTCGCATTGCGATTTTCTCGTTGCGATAGTCAGTTTCGTGTTGCGATAGTCTGTTTTGCCTTCAACATAATGTTGATTGAAAATCAACAAATCAACTATTACATTTCAATCAATTAAACAAGCACAAATAAGAATTATGTACACACCAATTAAACAAATCAACATTTACAAATAATTTTTTACAAATCAATTAAACAATCAAAAAATAATAATAATTCTCATTTCCTCATCAATTATTGAATCAATGAATCAACTTTTGCACCCGTACATCCATTTCACGCAGCTCACTTAAGGATTAACCTGCAAAAACCAAACATTTGCTCAAACAAGACTTCCTACACATCTAAAACCTACAAACAACAAATTATTGAATTATAGGTACTTAACCAAACATTTTCAAACCAAAAGGAGTATATATGTTAACAAAACTTGCATTTGACTTACCAATTAACAATGGATACTTTCATAACGCGGATGCAGGTAGGCAGCGTCTAGAATATATCACTCTAGCCATATAATGCCGAAACCACAAGCCTACTGCAGCTCTATCTCTATCGGTGGGAGGTAGAAACTCTGTGCTTCCCGTCGTCAAACGCGCCAAACACATGCATACGAGAGGACCACAATCCCCTCTGGCTCCCGGCGATTGTTGTGGCACGGTCTCGTCTCTGACAACTGTGACATTGAACTTCTTTGGCTTCTTGTGTCCAGAATGAGTCCAATAATTAATCCTATCCAAGAATTTAGCCAAATGAGAGCTCCATCCCTTGATAATATCTCTCAAATCAGGCAGTGATATGTAATTTATCATGTTGTCATATACTATTATCTTCAGGGATGGGAGCTGAAGTTGGACGAGAAGCCAATGACGACGTTCCAAAACAGGGATAAACACCTGCAATCATAAGTAATAATTTATTTATTTGCGCACTTATTTATGAACACCTTTAAAAAATTTAAAAAATAAACACTAACCTTATCGACCTCCCACCATGCAGGATAAAGTTTAGCTTGTCCATTGCCCAACGAAAATGATTAATCTCTTTGATTCTTCAAGTGAACTGCGTGAAAAGCCGCCGACATTATTGTATATCGTGAATTTTTTTTATTTTTCCTAAGCTTCCTTATTATTAGAAGACGTGACACCCACGCATCGATATACTGTTTTACAAAAAAAAATATATATTAGTGAATTACATTAATTTTTAAAAAAATTAATCAAAATCATATATAAGTCAAATATAAGACTTACCTCCCCATCGAAATAGCCACTGTCTTCAACCCCTAATAACACACCCCACCAAGACCGATTAAGCAACAAATACATCTCATCGTTGAGTTTGCTTATGTCAGTGTAACACCCTTGGCTCTGCTCATGTACATAAAAATCAACTGCGATCTTAGCCCAAAGGGTATTATCCAGAATTGTTTCCGGTAGTTGTCTCCTCTCCACTTCAGATACCGAAAGGGTACTAGTCGGTAACTCATACGAGAGCCAACTCTCATCCATCATGTCCGGCAACGGTGGGGGTTTCTCAATAATTCGATATATTACCCCATGTGAATCGGGCTCTGGAATGGTGGGAGGGACCTCTTCAACGATGACAGTGGCCTCTTGAACGGTGGGGAGGGACTCTTGAGGGATGATAGGGGCCTCTTGAACGATTGGAGGAGACTCTTGAGGAATGACAGGTGAGTCGGGATTCTTCTTGCGGAGTCTTCGCACCATTGGGGTGAACGGAGACGTAATAGCACGTGCACGCCGTCTGATGCGTGAACTCCGTCGTGCAAGAAAAACCCGACGTAAAGCATCCACCTTATCAGGCCGCTAAAAAAAATTAATACATAAATCAATAAATAAACAGACATGATATTAAACAAAGACAAATATGTTTCAAACTTGCATTGTATTCACCCAAGTCATTATTCTATCATAGTTCACAAAATGCATCAGATAACATTCCAGAAGTAAGCACTTATATAAACATTTAAAAGGACAACATATATAAACATTCAAGAAGAAGAATAGTTTACTTTCGCAACACGAAACTTACTTTCGCAACGCGAAAATGACTATCGCAACGCGGAAATGGCTATCGCAATGCGAAGTGAAAATCGCAACGCGAAATGAAAATCGCAACGCGAAACACAAATCGCATTGCGATTTTCATTTCGCGTTGCGATTTTATCGTTGCGATTTTCATTTCACATTGCGATTTTGTCGTTGCGATTTTCATTTCGCATTGCGATAGCCATTTCTACGTTGCGATAGTCATTTTTGTGTTGCGAAAGTAAACTATTCTTCTTCTTCAAATTGAAACTTGAATGGATTGCATTACTTCAACCAAAAGAAAAAAACAAAACCAAAAACAAATACTAACAAAAACAGTTTAGCAGTATTGACAGCAACCGAATGAATTTATTAAGCAATCTAAGTGAAATGGTTAATCTAAGTGAAATTACGAGTAAATTTATCATCAAGTTAAATATGAAAAATCTTAAACTTACCTCGTTGCGTAGAGTATGAACCTCATTCTGTAACGATGCTACCATCTCACGTAGAGCGGCTACCTCACCGCGTAAAGTAGACACCTCAACACGCCATACACCATCGTCTTTGCGTAAAGTACCGACCTCCTCACGCAAGGCATTGACCTCATCACGTAACTCTCCTAACTCATCTCGTGGAGGTGGAGAACAGGGAGATAAACGTCGTGGCATCTTTGTCGGTCGCCTATCTTACGGTGATGGTGGAGAAGAGGCTCGATGATGTGATAGAATAGGTGATGGCTGTCGTTGTGGAGGTGTATAGTCGGGTCGATCAGGTGATGGCTCTGGGTGAGGTGATAGCTCTGGGTGAGGTGATGGCTCCCGAAGTGGAGGCTGCTCATCATCCGTGCCATCAAAAAAACGCTTACTAGCTTGCCACCAATCAGTGGCAAGCTCAACTTCTGTGGATGTCAGCCTCTGTAATGGAGTGTTGGCCTCCTAACAATATAAAAGCTCAAACAAAGTTAAACGTGTACTAGTAATAACTTGTTTATAAACATATGGTAGTATTTATGTTAACTTACATTATTTATTGTCGTATACCGTAGTAAATCTTCCCATTGCAAGGTCCGTTTCCTCTTCCAGGAAATAGCCCTGGGAATATCATTTGAAGTTTTTATTGCATATGTCTTCATGGCGGGAAAGACCTCAAATATCCAAATCTACAAACAATATAATAACAAACATTAGTAATT